ATATTCCAGTCACTGGGGCATGGAACACGTTGCATAGTTAAGTGTGGCTCAGAACATTATCACTCATGTATGTGTGTTCTTCCTCCGTCGCCGAGTCAAAAGAGTAAAGAGAGCAGAGGCGTACTAGCAAAAACAAGGTTTAGTGTGAACATATAATATACACACATGCTCTGGGAAAGATTTTGTTACATGGATAGGAGGATGTGAAGCCCCTATAAACGGACATAGGCCTTGCCTGGAGCCGGGGGAGCCCTGTGGGTGCCGTTGGCGAGGGCTGTGGCGTGTCCACCGGGTTGCAATCCGAGTTAGGGGTAGGGCTGAGGCTGTCATCTGTGCCTCCCATGGCATTGTATGAGGCCAGGGGAGACCGGACAATGACCGCCCGCGCAGTGCACAGGAGGCCGGCGGTGGTGGTTCTACCCATGGCCCTGTGTGGGGCTGGGGGGGACTGGAAGATGATGGCCAGCGACGGTGGCGTCCTGTCCATCGGCTCGCCTTAAACGTCAGAGGCCACCATCGGGCCGGCGCTTGTGCCGCCCACGGCCTTGTGTGGTGGCTGACTCTGGATGGCGGTTTTGCAGAGGCAGGACACCTTGAGGCGGGCTGGTAGTGGTGCCCGTGTGCCCTGCCGAGGAGGAGCTCATCTGGGTGGTCTCTCTCCAGCTGTCTGCTGGTAGCCTAGGATGGTCCAGAGGCCCAGGACTGCTCCCCGGGGAAGTGGGAACTCTGCGGGCAAAAGTGGGAAAAGACAGCTGCTAAAGGCACAGGATCGCGGTGGAACAGCCTGTGACCAGGGCAGCGGGCAGGTGCGGGCTGCTCCCTGGCAGGAGGGGAGGGGGCAGCGTCCCGGGGACGGGGAGGACCGGCGGGCGAGGAAAGTGGGGCTGGGGAGGCGGCGGGCGCGGTGGGGCACGAACCTTAGGAAGGAGAAAACTGTCCACACGGAAAAATGGGTTGTGGTGTGCGCCAAACGGTCCGAGGAAAGGGTCTGAAGCTAGGGAGAGGGTCTCCTTTGCCGCTAACTCCTTCTCAGGCCAAGCACGCACTGAGCTGCCCAGCTAGGGCGAGCCTGATACGTGTGTCAGCCAGGGGACGCATCACAAAGCGGCCTGGGCCACTGTGACGTCAGCCAGGGGCCGGGTCACCAAGCCCCCACTGCCTTGAGCACACCGGCCCCGCCCAGAGAGGACCCTGGGCCAGGGCCAAGGCCACGGCGCGGCCCCCAGGCCAACCCCAGTAGAATCCCTAGCCCCCGGGACTGCCCGCTGAGGGCCGTGCGGGTGTGTTTGGACCAACGAGGCCACCATGCAGACCGTCGAGGGCTGCAGTGCCCGCGTCTGTCAGAGCTCAGCCCGCCCGGGTGCCGGCTCTGCATGGGTGCGGCGGGCGGCCAGTGCCGTGCCCCCGTGGTCCCAGAGGACAGGGCCTGCTCACAGCCCGGCGTGGAGCCACCCAGAGGCTGCCCAGGGCACGGCCCACCCTTTCCCGGGCCTTCCCAGTTTCTCTGGGACACTTGGAGCCAGGCATACCTTCTCGGCCATGGCCAGCCAGGCGGCTGACTTCTGAGGGGAGGGCGCAGACCCCGTGACTTGCCTTCCTAGCTAGCGGGCAGGTTCTTTCTTTGCTTCTCACGGGAAGCGTAGGCCAGGGACCACCAGGTCTCAGCAGAGCCACATCCCGCATTCTGACTGGGCCTGGCCACCCCGATTTTCTCTCTGGTCTAGTTTTGGGGGCCTGTGTCTCGTACGTGAATAACACAACACAGTAAACCGGGAAACACTTTTTGTTTTTAAAGGCATCTCCTTTAGACTTCTTCGTCTCGACGGTGTCGCCGTGCTTGCCCGTCAGCCAGGCTGGAAGCTTGCGGGGCCACCTTGCCTCCTCTCAGCAGTCAGCCTGTCCATTCCCGATCCTGACAGTTCATCCTTTATGTTACGTGTCCCATGTCTAGTAACCCTGCTTCTGGTTTCTCGGGTCTTTCCTGGTGGACCTAGGCCCTGCCTGCTCACTGTTTTACTGTGGAAGCACTGACACTGTTAGTTACGGAATAAAATGTGAAATTCTCCAGCCCCAACTCACGGCCTGGCCTTAACTTTGTCTACATGTCCATCCCTGTGAGCCCAGCTCCCTGCTCCTTGAAAAGACCCTGTCTCGTGCCTTCTCGTATCTTTGAATTATTTCCTCTGGGGGTTCCCACCTCTTACCTCTGGTTTTTAAGACACTTCACCCCAGCAGAAGAACATGGATCGTTGAAGACCCAGCTCTCTAGTCACCTCCTCTTGGAGGCTTCCTTCCCGTGCACTCTCACTTAGGCGTGCCCTCTTCTCCCTGCTCCGTCCGTACTTGGCGAGAACCTCCCTTTATCAGATTTGAGTGTGTAAGCTCGTGCACATCACCCTTCAGGTAACGGGATCTGTTGAACAGCGGTGACACAGTGAATGGCTGGACTCGGCTTCAGAGCTCAGCTGCCCGTTCAGTGGTACCTGGTGCCGCCCGCTCCTTCGCCAACCATGTGTTATGTTCCAAACCGTGCGGAATATAAATGCGGGCGAGATGCCGCCGCCGACCCCTCGGTCCCCGCCGTGTATACCCCCGGGTGCTTAGGGAGAGGCCCGGCATTGAAGACCCAGCTCTCTAGTCACCTCCTCTTGGAGGCTTCCTTCCCGTGCACTCTCACTTAGGCGTGCCCTCTTCTCCCTGCTCCGTCCGTACTTGGCGAGAACCTCCCATATCAGGTTTGAGTGTGTAAGCTCGTGCACATCACCCTTCAGGTAACGGGATCTGTTGAACAGCGGTGACACAGTGAATGGCTGGACTCGGCTTCAGAGCTCAGCTGCCCGTTCAGTGGTACCTGGTGCCGCCCGCTCCTTCGCCAACCATGTGTTATGTTCCAAACCGTGCGGAATATAAATGCGGGCGAGATGCCGCCGCCGACCCCTCGGTCCCCGCCGTGTATACCCCCGGGTGCTTAGGGAGAGGCCCGGCGAGCCGAGCCCCACAGTCTTAACCTTTAACAGCGATGAGCGCAGAGTGTGTGGGGCAGGCCCTAGATGCTGCCGCCGCCGTCGTGATGACTCCTCCCTCTGGCCCCGTGGGGTCGGGTTCCAGATCTCTTCTTGTTCTCTGCCTGTGCTTTTTCCATAGTGGTGTAGTTTTGTTGTATGGGGGCGGCGTCTTTCGTGTCTCTGAAGGAATTAAGTATGGGTCTCAGAAGTCTCTTTTCTCTTGCCTTCATTGTGTCAGTTTTCATTGTACTGTACCGTCTTTTATTTCTGTGTCTTTGGGTTTTCTCCCGCTGCTACTGCTTTTCCTCTGAGATCTGAGAGGACCTGTACCACAGGCCTGTTGTAGACAGAAGAGTAAACTTGGTGCTTTGCTTACCACCATGTTTGAGGGACATCAGCATGATCACCACTGATTGGAGGAGGGACAAGTAGAAAGGAACACCCAAGTTCTAGACAGGAGCAGTTGGGAGCAAAGAGTGTGTTGTGGAGTGACGTGTTTATTTGAGCGTCCAAACTTCCCTCTGTATCTGGTTATGACTTCTTGACATTCGTGAACATCGTAAAACCCACTGATTTCAAAAGCCCAGACGCATATTATCACGGCAATTCGGTTGTTGAGGTGAGAAAAAATGAGGAAGGCCTCGCTGTACCACTGAATCTATGACTGGGCCCTGTCAAAACCAAACAGAAAGAATCCATGGTGGCCGGAAGGCCTATTTTCTACTGACTGTCTCTCTGGGGACTTAGAATCTTTTCGTGCGTGCGTGCGTGCATGCGTGTGTGTGTGTGTGTGTGTGTGTGGTGTCAGTAATGGACAGTTACATGAGTAACACACTGTGGCTTCTAGACTCCCCCTCTCCCCTGCTCCCACCCCCATTATCAGGTCCGCTCCCCAGGCCCCATTACAGTCGCTGTCCATCAGTGTACTAAGATGCTCTAGAATCACTACTTGTCTTCTGTGTGCTATACTGCCTTCGCCGTGGCCCCCCACCCCCTACATTACGTGTGCGGACTGTAATGCCCCTTTTCCCCCCTTATCCCTCCCTCCCCTCCCACCCATCCTCCCAGGTCCCTTTCCCTTTGGCAACTGTTAGTCCATTCTTGGGTCCTGTGAGTCTGCTGCTGTCTTGTTCCTTCCGTTTTTGCTTTGTTCTCATACTCCACAGAGGAGCGAAATCCTTCGATACCTGTCTTTCTCCACCTGGCTTATTTCACTGAGCATAACCCCCTCTCGCTCCATCCGTGTTGTTGCAAATGGCGGTAAGATTTTTCTTCTTCTCTTTTATGGCTGAATGATGTTCCCTAGTGTGTATGGACCACCTCTCCTTTACCCATTCATCTCCTGGTGGACACGTAGGTTGCTTCCATTTCTTGGCCGTTGTACACAGTGCCGCGATCAACATAGGGGCACATATGTCTCTTTGAAACTGGGCTCCTGCATTCTTAGGGTAAATTCCTAGGAGAGGAATTCCTGGGTCAAATGGTATTTCTGTCTTTCGGCTTTTTGGGGGACCTCCATACTGCTTTCCACGATGGTTGAGCTGACTGACATTCCCACCAGCAGTCTAGGAAGGTTCCCTTTCCTCCACTCCCTCGCCGACATCTGTTGTTGTCTGTCTTTTGGGGTGGAGGCCATCCTAACTGGTGTGAGGTGATATATGCCCCATTGTGGTTTCAGTGTGCATTTCTCTGATGGTTAGTGATGCGGAGCATCTTTTCATGTGCCTGTCGGCCACCTGAAACTGCTTCTGTGGAGAAGTGTCTGTTCAGATCCTCTGCCCATTTTGTAATGTGGAGTCATTTGCTTTTTGTGTGCTGAGGTTCGTGAGCTCTTGATACATATTTTGGATGGCAACGCCTTACCAAATATGTCATCGGTGAATATATTCTCCCATACTGAAGGATGTCTTTTGGGTCTACTGCTGGTGGTCAAACAGAATCTTATACCCCCTACCGTTTCATTCCAAGTCTTGACTAATTTTTTTTTTTTCCCAGAACACCAACCGGCCGAGAAAACTGGAACGAAGAGGAGAAGCTGTGATGCAGGAACATCTAGCGTAAAGCTGAGAGGTGAGATGGTGCGGAGACTGGTAGGTTGTATCTTTCCATGTGCTGCTTTCAAGGGTCATAGGGAAAAAAGATTGCCAAGGAGATAAAGCCCGGAGTGTTGACATCACCTGATATCGGTGGAGCCATGTAGCCACCAGCCATTAATGGGAAGGCTAGCATGCGGCACTGTTGTCTTTCCTGCGGAGTTAGACGTGCGGCGTCCCCCGTTTGCAGTTCAGTCAGAGCCCGTGTGGGACTGTCCTGGCACCGGCCGGGGTGGACCCGAGAGCCGTGCCATTCCTGCTGGGCTGTCGCAGCATCCCTCTCAGAACAGGGCCTCAGCAGAGCTCCTGGTGAGAGAGAGGGAGAGAGAGAGAGAAAATTGCGCTCAAGAGACAGGGGCAGTTTTTTTTCTGTAGCGCCGATGAGCATGTATGCTCCTGATGTTTATTTTGAGATCTCTTTCTCAGAAGATTGATTTGAGTCCAGTTGCTAGGTTCCTTTGAAGGTTCGTGTTGGTAGGTGGTGCCCTCTAGCTCCCAGGCAGGGGTCACAGGGGAGCGGCGCCGGTGCCCTCCCCCTGCCGGGAGGAAAGAGGTCTTTCCTGCTCCCCGGCCACAGTGCCTGTCTCCACTGCCAGGGCCAATTTGCAGAGCATGCAGGGAGAAGCTGCCGTAGGTGGGGGCGGCCGTTTTGCAGGCCGGTGCCGGCGGGGAGGCAGGCCGTGTATCAGTCGCAGCACGGTAGGGGGCCTCGGAGCTGCGAGGCCAGCCGGGGGACGGAGCGCCCGGAGCTCCTGAATGTTCCCCTGCCTGCCGCGCAGAGTGCACCCGGGCAGTTTGGCGCACCTGTCCTTTCTCCTGAGCGGCAAGCTGTGTGGAAGCATGGCCCCTTTAGCGGCTCTCTCGCTGTTGGGAAGTCTCTCAGACTGCCCGCCTTTCTTTTGTCCCACAGCGGCCGGATGTGGATCCCTGTGTTGTCCCACAAGTGGCTGGAATCTCAAGTCTCTCGAAGTCTTCCGCCTGTCTTCGCTTTCCGACCCCACCGATCCTGCGGAGCGCACCACGTGTACGGTAGGTTCGCGCTCCCAGAGCACATCTCATCTCCAGGGCTGGGTGTTTGGCAGTCCTAGGCCTCCACCCACCTCCCTGATTCTGTTTCTTGCCCCACCCCCCACTCCCCTGAGCTCGGGTGCGGGAAGGGCTTTGGGGTCCCTCTGGGTCACAGGCTTTTTGGTACGTCACCCTTCTCCTTGAGGTGACAGCCTGCCGCAGCAGCCTCCTGCCCTGCTGCTGCTCTTCCAGGATTTGGTGTAGTTGTTTTACTTCCATATTGTTACCTATGTATGTGGTTCTGGTTTTGGGAGGAGGTTTCCGCCTCCCTTCTCACCTGAGCCGCCGTCTTTAATCCCATTGACCCATCCTTTGGTTTTTTTGTTTTTTTTCAGTTTCACTTGTGTAGGGTACCTTTCCCCCCACCTTCAGCTTGTAGATTGTCTGTGTCCTTGGATCTCAAGTGAGTCTCCTGGAAGGGAGCACGTAGGTGGTCTTGAGTTTTCATCCCTTCCTTTAACCCTGTGTCTTTTGACTGGCGCATTTAACGCCTGTCCTTGTATTCTGACCATTGAGAGCTGTGTCCCTGGTGCACTTCAAATAATTTTTTTTGTTGTTATCATTCATCTACAATTACATGAAGAACATTATGTTTACTGGGCTCCCCCCTTCACCAAGTCCCCCCCGCCCGCCCCCCACAAACCCCGTGACAGTCGCTACCCATCAGCGTAGTTAGATGCCGTAGACCCCCTTCACCAAGTACCCCCCACACCCTGTTACAGTCGCTGTCCGTCAGCGTGTAGTAAGATGCTGTAGAACCACTACTTGTCTTCCCTGTGTTGTACAGCCCTCCCCATGCCCCCCCCCCACCCCACACATTATACATGCTGATCGTAATGCCCCCTGTCTTTTTCCCTGCCCTTATCCCTCCCTCCCTCCCCACCCACCCTCCCCAGTCCCTTTCTTTCCCTCTGGCAACTGGTAGTCCATTCTCGGGTACTGTGGTTCTGCTGCTGTTTTGTGCCTTCAGGTTTTCTTTGTCGTTATACTCCACCTATGAGCGAAATCATTTGGTACTTGTCTTTCTCCGCCCGGCTTATTTCACTGAGCATAATACCGTCTAGCTCCATCCATGTTGTTGCCAATAGTAAGATTTCTTTTCTTCTTATGGCTGAATGGTATTCCATTGTGTATATGTATTACCTCTTTATCCATTCATCTCCTGATGGACAGTTTGGTTGCTTCCATTTCTTGGCTATTGTAAAAAGTGCTTCAATAAACAAAGGGGTCAGTATGTCTTTTTAAAACTGGGCTGCTGCATTCTTAGGGTAAGTTCCTAGAAGTGGAATCCCTGTGTCAAATGGTATGTCTATTTTGAGCTTTTTACAGAACCTCCATACTGCTTTCCACAATGGCTGAGCTAGTTTACGTTCCCACAAGCCATGTAGGAGGGTTCCCCTTTCTCCACAACCTCACTGATATTTGTTGTTGTCTGTCTTTTGGATGTTGGTGATCCTTACTGGTGTGAGGTGATATCTCATTGAGGTTTTAATTTGCATTTCTCTGATGACTAGCGATGTGGAGCATCTGTTCTTGTGTCTGTTGTCCATCTGAATTTCTTCTTTGGAGAACTGTCTATTCAGGTCCTCTGCCTGCCCATTTGTTAATTGGATTACTTGCTTTTCATTTGTCGAGGAGCGTACGCTCTTTATATATTTTGGATATCAACCCTTTATCGGATCTGTCATTTATGAACATATTCTACTATGTTGTAGGGTACCTTTGTGTTCTATTGATGGTGTCCTTTGCTGTACAGAAGCTTTTCAGCTTGATATAGTCCCACTTGTACAGTTTTGCTTTTGTTTCCCTTGCCTGGGGAGGTATGTTCATGAAGAAGTCACTCATGTTTATGTCCAAGAGATTTTTGCCTATGGTTTGGTCTTAAGAGTTTTGTGGTTTCATGACTTACATTCAGGACTTCAACCCATTTCGAATTTAGTTTTGTGTATGGGGTTAGATAGTGACCCAGTTTCATTCTCTTACATCTCGCTGTCCAGTTTTGCCAGCACCATCTGTTGAAGCGACTGTCATTTCCCCATTGTATGTCCATTGGCTCCTTTATCGTATATTAATTGACCATATATGTTTCGGTTAATGTCTGGAGTGTCTATTCTGTTCCACTGGTCTGTGGCCCTGTTCTTGTGCCAGTACCATATTGTCTTGATTACAGTGGCTTTGTAGTAGAGCTTGAAGTTGGGGAGTGAGATCCCCTCCACTTTCCCTTCTCAGGATTGCTGCTTTGGCTATTTGGGGTCTTTGTTGTTTCCATATGAATTCTTGAACTATTTGTTTCAGTTTGTACAAGAATGTTGTTGGTAATCTGAAAGGGATTGCATCAAATCTGTATATTGCTTTGGGCAGGAGGGACATTTTGATGATATTAATTCTTCCTAGGTAAGAGCATGGGATGAGTTTCCATTTGCTTGTGTCCTCTTTAATTTCTCTTAAGAGTGTCTTACAGTTTTCAGGGTATAGGTCTTTCACTTCCATGGTTATGTTTATTCCTAGGTACTTTATTCTTTTTGATGCAATTGCTAATGGAATTGTTTTCCTGATTTCTCTTTCTGTTAGTTCATTGTTAGTGTATAGGAAAGGCACCGATTTCTGTGTCTTAAATTTGTATGCGGCAAATTTGCTGTATTCCGATATCAGTTCTAGTAGTTTTGGAGTGGAGTCTTTAGGGTTTTTTTATGTACGATATCATGTCATCTGCAAATAGTGACAGTTTTACTTCTTCTTTTCCTATCTGGATTCTTTGTATTTCTTTGTTTTGTCTAATTGCGGTTGGCTAGGACCTCCAGTACTATGTTAAATAACAGTGGGGAGAGTGAGCATCCCTGTCTTGTTCCCAATCTCAGAGGAAAAGCTTTCAGCTTCTTGCTGTTCAGTATGATGTTGGCTGTGGATTTATCATATATGGCCTTTATTATGTTGAGGTACTTGCCCTCTATACCCATTTTGTTGAGAGTTTTTATCATGAATGGATGTTGAGTTTTTTTGTCGAATGTTTTTTCAGCATCTATGGAGATGATCGTGTGGTTTTTGTCTTTCTTTTTGTTTATGTGTTGTGTGATGTTGATGGATTTTCGAATGTTTTACCATCCTTGCATCCCTGGGATGAATCCCGCTTGGTCATGGTGTATGATACTTTTGATGTATTTTTGAATCGGTTTGTTAATATTTTGTTGAGTATTTTTGCATCTACATTCATCCAGGGATATTGGTCTGCAATTTTCTTTTTTGGTGGGCTCTTTGCCTGGTTTTGGTATTAGGGTGATGCTGGCTTCATAGAATGAGTTAGGAAGTGTTCCCTCCTCTTGTATTTTTTGGAAAACTTTACAGAGAATGGTTATTATGTCTTCTCTGTATGTCTGATAAAATACCGAGGTAAATCCATCTGGCCCGGGGGTTTTGTTCTTGGCTAGTTTTTTGATTACTGCTTGTATTTCTTTGCTGGTAATTGATTTGTTTAGATTCTGTGTTTCTTCCATGGTCAGTCTTGGAAGGTTCTATTTTTCTAAGAAGTTGGCCATTTCTTCTCAGTTTTCCAGCTTGTTAGCATATAGGTTTTCATTGTACTTTCTAATAATTCTTTGAATTTCTGTGGGGTTCGTCGTGATTTTTCCTTTCTCGTTTCCGATTCTGTTGATTTGTGTTGACTCTTTTTGTCTTAATAAGTTTTGCTAGAGGTTTATCTATTTTGATTATTTACTCAAAGAACCAGCTCTTGGCTTCATTGATTTTTTTTCTATTGTTTTATTCTTCTCAGTTTTATTTATTTCTTCTCTGATCTTTATTATGTCCCTCCTGCTGACTTTAGGCCTCATTTTTTTCTTCTTTTTCCAATTTTGATAATTGTGACATTAGACCATTCATTTGGGATTGTTCTTCCTTCTTTAAATATGCCTGGATTGCTATATACTTTCCTCTTAAGACTACTTTTGCTGTATCCCACAGTAATTGGAGCTTTGTGTTGTTGTTGTCATTTGTTTCCATATATTGCTGGATCTCCATTTTGATTTGGTCATTGATCCACTGATTATTTAGGAGCGTCTTGTTAAGCCTCCATGTGTTTGTGAGCCTTTTTGCTTTCTTTGTACAATTTATTTCTAGTTTTATGCCTTTGTGGTCTGAAAAGTTGGTTGTTCGGATTTCAGTCATTTGGAATTTACAGAGGCTCTTTTTGTGGCCTAGTATGTGGTCTGTTCTGGAGACTGTTCCATGGTCAACTTGAGAAGAATGTGTATCCTGTTGCTTTTGGATGTAGAGTTCTGTAGATGTCTATTAGGTCCATCTGTTCTAATGTGTTTTTCAGTGCCTCTGTGTCCTTACTTATTTTCTGTCTGGTGGATCTGTCCTTTGGAGTGAGTGGTGTGTTGAAGTCTCCCAGAAGGAATGCATTGCATTTTATTTCCTCCTGTAGTTCTGTTAGTACTTGTTTCACATATGTTGGTGCTCCTGTATTGGGTGCATATATATTTATAATGGTTATATCCTCTTGTTGGACTGAGCCCTTTATCATTATGTAATGTGCTTCTTTATCTTTTGTTACTTTCTTTATTTTGAAGTCTGTTTTGTCTGATACTAGTATTGCAACAGCTTTCTTCTCTCTGTTGTTTGCATGAAATATCTTTTTCCATCCCTTGACTTTAAGTCTGTGCATGTCTTTGGGTTTGAGGTGAGTCTCTTGTAAGCAGCATATGGATGGGTCTTGCTCTTTTATCCATTCTATTACTCTGTGTCTTTTGATTGGTGCATTCAGTCCATTTACATTTAGGGTGATTATTTAAAGGTATGTACTCATTGCCCTTGTATGCTTTAAGTTTGTGGTTACCAAAGGTTCAGGGTTAGCTTCTTTACTATCTTACTGTCTAACTTAGCTCGCTTATTGAGCTGTTATATACATTGTCTGTAGATTCTTTTATTCTCTCCCTTCTTACTCCTCCTGCTCCATTCTTCATA